CGTGAACGACTTGAAAGAGCTTGAACAAATTTTCATGACTCGGAATTTTTCTAATTACGATTCAAAACAGGGTTCTAATTTTAACGCCCAAGCGGCCAGCAGTTTACTCTCTCAAGTTGAACCGTTGTCGCATAATAAAATGAGTGGGATTCAAGCAAATGGTTTGACAGGTTATTCGCATGTTGCATCTAATGTTTACCCAAATTCTCAGAATCCTCAAATGTTTTACCAAAATGGTCTGACTCATAATTATGCTTTGCATGGAAATAGTAGCGTAAATAGTAATCATTCCTGTTTGAGTAATTCTTTGCACACAAAGAATCAGAGCACATCAATTAGTCACGGAAATGTTGATTCCCGAACCCATAATTTTCCTATTCAAACTGTTAATCCTGTAAACCAGATGTCAGCTTTTGGCAGCGCGCATTTCAATCAGAATCAAGTTAATGCTGTGACTTCTAGTTATCAATCGGGAAATTTTTCGGCTTATTTGCCCTTCACCAGGAAATTCGGCCAAGGTAACTCGATGTCTTCAAGTGATGCGTCTACTGGTGCTTACAATGCTGCGCAGAGTACAATTCAGGCATCTCAAAAGTTGCACCCTGTTTCAATGACCAGCTCAATAGCAATACCAGCAGCGGCATCCCAATTTTACCACAACCAGAGTACAGCCAACTCCTACGCTAGTCTGAATCAAAGTTTGAATAAGAATACTGAGAATAATTTCTCGTCTGCCGTCACTTCGGGACCAAGATCGCTCAGTCCGAGAATCGATAACCCTCTCAATTCCGCCACGAACAATGTGCATAACCAAAACCCCCCGGTGTCACATGCTCAGTATCTGACCAATGGTGCTACGACTCCCAATTTTACTTCAAATAATAATACGATTGTGAATGCAACTGTGACCATTAATGGGTCTTTGTCCATGAGTCAAAACAACAATGATCACGTGACTTTTTCTTCTGGGATGAAATCAGCGAAAAGCTTGGGTGACTTGACAAGTTTACTTGTGACCTCAGAAGCGCCTCCTGTTCCAGCCTACCAGTCCACGTTTCCAGAGGAAAGGAGGGCTGGTTTTAATGTGTATCTCCCTATGTCTAGTTACTTAGCAGCTAAAAAGTAGTTTTGAATGTAAATTTTCCTTTCATAGTTTTATTTATCCCGAGGAAATTAAATTTACTGGCTTAATTTTGTTTTTAATGGTCTGAGTAAAAAGCGAAAAAAGCCCACGTTTTTATCCAACTTGATGGTTCCTTCTTTAATTAACGGAACATTTTGGAACTAGCATCGATTCAAGCTATGTCTCCTTACAAATTTGTGAAACAACTAGTGTAACCGAATCAATGAGTCATTTATTTGTTAGTCTGTGCCAGTTTTTTGCACCAGCAATGGTATTGCAACCGGGTAATAGACTTTTTTCCGTAAGCAAATTTGTCTACAAGACTCGTCTGGACTCATCTCTACCTTGTTTCATTATGTATTCAAATTTCTCAGCGTTCCTGGCCAACCGAGCCTGGAGGTAACGAATATGCCTGGGCTGCCAAAGGTCCCCAGATCGAGTCTGACCAGGATCTAATTTATTTTCAAACGAGATATATTCTGTTTAAAAAGATTGTCGGCCTATTATTTGTCTGCTTATCTGTTGTCGGCTTAGTTGTGACATCTTGGAATTGTTTTTTTTTTCTACCAGCGATTTTTTAATATTGTTTTTAGTGTATATTTGTCCCATATTTTTGATTTTTTTTTCGTTTTCTCGAAAAATGTTTCTCTCAAACTTAAGTTTTTGGTTTCAATGGACAGAACTGTTTTAAAAAGCTCCCCTGCATAAGTGGCTACGATTAATTTATGTTATGGCCCTCGGAATTGTCAAAATTCTTATTTTTGACCGTTTCGTGGATCTTTTCGACTTTTCTCGAAAACTTACCTCTCAAATCTGATATTTTGAGTTTAATGAGACAGAAGTTAGTGGGAATCTCCTCTGCATTAGCGAACACTAACAAGAAAAAATTTTACAAGAAATTATCGCCCTCTGAAAAGTCAAACTTTTAATTTTTTTGACCGATTTTTAAACTTTTCTTGAATATTCTCGAAAACTACCCTGCCATACCTAAGATTTTGGTTTCAATTCTCAGAAAGGGCTTAGTTATGGCCCTCGGAAAAGTAAAATTTTAGATTTTATGGCCGTTTTTTTAGAAGATTTAGACTGTTCTCGAAAACTATTCTGCCAAATCTGATATTGTGGGTTCAATGAGATAACGGGTAGTGGGACGCTCCTGTGCATTAGTGGACACTTTAAAAAGTTTTACACAAGAACTTATCGCCTTTGAAAAGTCAATTTTTTGATTTTTTGATCGTTTTAAACTTTTTCAATATTCTCAAAAACTACCCTGCCGTACCTGAGACTTTGGATTTAAACGGTTTGCAGAAAAACGTTATGTATTTTGGCAAGTCTTTTGAACGTTTTTTAGAACTTTCGACCGCTTAGAAACTTTTTGATTTTTTCTAAAATCTTACAATCAAATCTGAAATGAATAAATTCATTGGAAAACGAGCTGTGATAATTGTTCATGCAGAAGCAGCGATTCCTTAACTTTTTAGAAGAGAAATGTTATCTTTTTGGGAAAATTGATTATCTCAAAAAAAGTTTCTCACTTATTTTAGTAGAGAAACAGCTTATTTTTAAGGCAAAGTCCAATTTTCGAAATCACGCTTTTCATGCCGCATCAGTAAAGCAAACTCAGTCAATATTACCTGAGTACCTCCAGCTTTAGCTCTGCCTGAAGGACAATTTTGGTTCACCTAGTTTTTTTCATTATCTATATATTTTTTGACTGTTTTTTTATGTTTGTTTTGTATTGCAAGTGATCGGAAGCTCTGCTTCACCTCTGTGTAATATTATTTAGGTTGCTTGTTTGATCCGATTTGGAACGAGGTATAAAAAGAGCATAAAAGAAAATGCTCTTTTTATTCTTCGTTCTTTCTGACTGTTTTTTTTTAACTTTTTGAATTTTCTCGAAAACTACTCTCCCACATCTGAGTTTCTGGGATCACTCAATAGAATGGTTTGTGTGAAGCTCCTTTGAAAACAGGTCTTTGCCAAATTTTTTTCAGACTAAAACTAATGGCCCTGGGAAATGGAAAAATTTTGATTTTGACCGTTGTTTGGCTTCTATCGATGACTCTCCTGCCAAACCTGATATAATCGGTTTAACCGAAACAACAGGTTTTTGAAGTGCTACCTTTTTACTTGTTTTTGCCTATTTTTTTGAAAAAGTTATGGTTTTCAAAAAAAAAAAAATTTGAAACTTGCTGTTTTTTGAAAACTTTTTGATTTATTCGAAAACTATCGTGCCAATTCTCAGGTTCAGTGTTCAATCGAGAAACCCGATTTTGGGAATCTTCTCCACTTTAGCGGCCACGACTTGCTTGCTGCAGACAAAAGTTTTGGATTTCGGGAAAGCAAGTTTTGTATTTTCTGACTTTTTTTTGTTGAAACTTTTTGGATTTTCTTGAAAACTACTCTATCAAATCTGAGATAAAAAATTCAATCAAAAGAACTGGTTGCGAGATTTTTTCTGGCGGAAGTGGCGACTCCTTATTTTTTTCACTCTTCGCACTATTTATTTTAGCAGAGAAACAATTCAAGTTTTGAGTTAAGTCCATTTTTTGAAATATTTCATTTCGTCCTGCGCCAATAAAACAAATTAAAAAATTATTCATAAAAGCAAAGCTTGTGTGATAGTATGACCTCGCTTTATTTCCAACCTAAGTCGCAAATTTTGGTGTTCATTTTGAAAGTGTTCATTTTGATCAATAACCAGCTAATAAGTACAGCCTATGCCAAGGATATTAACACCTTGAAGCTAAAGTGCTATTTTATTACAAATAGCACTTTAGCTTCAAGGTATCATCGATCTGTAGCGTAGATGTAGGGAAGGAGACCCGCAACAAAATAAGAGGGCTCGAACTTTGGCAGATTCGGATGTTTTAAATGAACTTTTTCGTATACTAGTTAAAATGCTTTCGCTCTTGAAATTGAGGCATGTTATTTGGTAAATTTGTTTTTTTTTTCAAACTGACTACTACTGCTATTGTGTCATAATTTTGTAGACTCAAAGTTTTACTCATTCAGTCTTTCCCAGTATCAGTTATATTTTTGCTCGTGTATGCGAAGCGCAACTTCGCCTGTGTAAACACGTACCTCCAGCTTTAGCTGCCCTCTAGTTTTATTTTATCGAGACGTGCAGAAATTTTGGTTCGCCTAGTTTTGTTTCAACTTTTTTCAATTTTTTTTCGATTTCTGTTTTTTTTTTTGTTTTTGTATGGCTTCGATTTGCCTCTGTCTATTTTGAAAAAAAAGTTTGGTTTGTTTATTTATTTCTATACAGTTTTTTTTGCAAAAAGTCTAAAATTTGTTCACGCTCAATTTTGATTTTTCGCGGTTTGACTTGTGATTTTTTGTGAAAGTTCAAAACATTTCCATTTTTGAAAGGAAGGCAAATTCCACTATCGCACAGCAAAAGTGTTCAGGTCACGGAAAACGTGATCGACTTCTAATTTCGAAAATGGAAATTAATTTCCATTTCCAGATTTCCCAGCGAAATAAAAGTTTTACCTATTGAGGGTAATTGAAGCAAAAAGGTGTCCATCATATTTTTTTTTACAAATT